TTCCCAAAATCCACCGTACCATGGAGCACGTTTGGGGATGAATCTCCATTGTCTCGAGGAGTGGGGATTTCAGGAGCTTCAACAACTCTTCTGCAGCGGACTGGTAGGTGGAGGCGTTGTCAGATATTAAGACTTTTGGCAGTGACTTGCGGCTTGCAAATCGACGGAAAGCTTCAATAAAGGTCGGAACTGTTAGGTCGGTCACGACTTCAAGGTGAACGGCACGAGTACTTGCACAAGTGAACAGGCAGATATACACCTTCGATCGACCGTTGGTTGATTTCACGTAGATTTCGCCTGTAAAATCGACCCCAGTAATGGTGAATGGGGGTGAATCATTCGTTCGAGTTGTTGGAAGTGGTGGTGGGTCTGGTATCGTGTATGGTTTGCCTGTAGTTTTGAGGCACGTTACACAACGACGGATGATCTTCTTAATGTATTGTCTGGCAGCAGGTATCCAATATCTTTGACGGAGGTGGGTAAGGGTAGAGTTTTGTCCGGAGTGAAGGGTTGCTCTGTGTGCATCCTCCACAATCAACTGTGTAAGATGATGGTTTCGTGGGAGGAGAATGGGGAACTTAGCGGATTCTTGAAGAGGAGCATTATGTATTCTTCCACCACAGCGGATGATGCCTTCGGCGAGAAATAGACGAAGTTGTCTGACCAATGATGATCGGTTAGATGTCTTCGACTGTAGGTTGACAAGTTCGTTTGAATACACAACAGATTGACAATCAACAATCCAAAACATTAGAGCAGAATCTAGTTCAGTGACAGATAATGGACCAGAATGAGTTCTCTTCTTCAGGTTATCGACGAAGCGTAGAACCCACGCTGTGACTCTTACTAGCTTATGGAGGTTACTATAAGCAGACAGATTGATAATTTTGGCAATTCCATGTTTAGGTTCAGGTACGTTAGTTGGGTTGTTTGTTGGTTCACTAGTAATGGTGGAGATGGCTTCGAGTTGTTCTGCTGCAGTGGACTGGAGGAGAACAGATTTGGAATTCCAGCTGGGCCAGTTCTTCTTTGTATTTAGCCACGAAGGACCACGAGACCAGAGAGTGGATGTGGATAGTTCACCAGTCTGCATTCCTCTGGTTAGGAGGTCAGCGGGATTATCCCCAGTTGGACAATAGTTCCATGAGGCAGTTTCTGTGAACGACTGGATTTCGGTGACGCGGTTGTGGACGAATCGCTTCAAATCTTTCTTAGAGGACAACCAGTGGAGGACTATTTGACTATCCGACCAGAGGTAAACGTCGGACGCTTGTAAATGGGCTTGGAGGTATGAAGACAGTCTTGCACCAAGTACAGCTGCCATTAACTCGAGCTGTGGTAAGGTAAGTTTCTTGAGAGGCGCAACTCGGGATTTGGCCACAACCAATGATGTTTCGGAACCACAAGTGATATAAGCAGCTGCTCCATATGCTTTAACACTGGCGTCGACAAATACGTGGAGGGAAGTGCTAGGTGGCCATGTTGATGAAGAGGGGAAGTAACGGCGAGGAATTTCGGTTTGTGTGGCAGTTTGCAAATCCTTAGAGAGTGCCAACCATTTTTCGTGGAGCTCTTGTGGTAAAGATTCGTCCCAACTGTACCCTTCTTTCCACAGTTCTTGTATAAGTATCTTGGCTCGAATGGTTACTGGAGTTAGGATGCCAAGTGGGTCGTAAATCTTGGAGGATTCGCGGAGAACTTCTCTTTTTGTGATGCTATTGTTGGCGTCGTTAGGTGGTTGCCGTTGCTGAAACTGGAGTGTATCGGTTTTAGGATTCCATCGAAGCCCGAGTACCTTTGTTTCTGGATCTTTGTCTTGAAGGCCTTGGTCTGCGGCTGATACACGAATCGTGGGGTTGTTAGAATTCCACGCTCTTAGATTAAAGCCCACAGGTGACATTATGAGCCTTGATCTTTCAAGAAACGTAGATGCTTCATCCTCACTGTCAGAGCCAGTGGCGAGGTTATCAACATAAATATCGGTCTTCATTTTCTCAGCGACTGGGTTGTGAATACTTTCGAGATGTTTCTTGAGGGTCGCATTTAGGATAAACGGTGAACACGAAGCACCAAATAGGATGGACTTAAAACGATAGACGTCAAATGGACTTTCCGGGTCCTTTGGGTCCGATATCCAGAAAAATCGTGTGGCATCCCGATCTTCCTCGTCCAGAATTATGTGGAGAAATGCCTTCTCGATATCAGCAGTCAAGGCATACCGATAGCAGCGGAATCGAATGAGGATCGCGGTGAGGTCGTTTAAGAGTGGAGGACCGGTAGCTAGACAATCATTCAAGCTTGGTTGACTATCGTTTGTCTTGCAACTGCAGTCAAAGACGACACGGAGTGGAGTGGTGGAGGAGTCTTTCAAGATAGCATGGTGTGGAAGGTAGTGACATCTGCTTCGGATCTTTTCGGGATCGGGGATTTTCTCGATAAATCCACGTTGTTGTTGTTCAGTGATGATTTGGTTGTATACTTTCAGCTTTTCGGGGTTTGTGGCAAGCCGTCGTACTGTGGAGCGGGTTCGTCCTTTTGCTATTGCTTCATTTGTAGGGAGTGGTGGGTGATTAGGTTTCCAAGGCAACTTAGCATTATAGTGTCCATTTTCAAGGTGAATTGAGGAATTTTGGTAGTCTTCAACGAACTCTCTTTCTTTTTTCTCGGTTTCATCAGGTAAAATGCCTATGGATTCCAAGTTCCAGAACCGTTCTAACATTTCTTCTTCCCGTTCTGTCGCAACGATGGCCTTGAGGACTGTAGCGGTGAGTTCTGATGGTGGGTAGGGAATGGCAGTTGGTCCAGACAGTAGGTAGCCAATCTTTGATTTGGCGGCAGTAGGTCCAGATCCTCGAACAATCTTGTCTTCTACAACGTCCCAATAGTGGTCTGCACCAATGAGGAGAGAGATCTCGAATTGGTCATCGCTGGTGACGGGATGAGCTAGCTTGAGGTTCTTGAGGTAAGGTAGGTTGTATATGTCAGTGGTGATATGGTTCTTTTGTGGTATAGCAATCACTGGGATGATTACTACTTGGATTGGGATAATTCCACCAGTGTCTGTTTGTAGATGTACGGTTGCGATATCGACTCTTTTCACTGATGTCTGGGCGCCACCGAAGACTGATAGGTGTAAAAGTTCTGTCCTTTCTGGCACGAGGTTGAGACTGTTTGCTAATTCTTCAGTTATGAAAGAACGTTGGGCACCTTCATCGAACAGGATGTGTGCGGTTGCGGCTCTGTTTCGGGATTGTACGGTGGCTATTGCTGTTTTCAGTAAGGTACATCGGTGGGAGTACTTGTTGTCGGATAGGTTGGTATGAAGGTTCGTAACGGATGCTGATGAGGTGTTGTTACCAGATGTTTGTTCGCTTGTGTTGGTTGTTTGAGCTACGTCGCCGCCGTTGGTACACATACATTGCACGTTTCTGTCCTTGTCTTTGATGTTTTGACGCGCGTTTGGATCAGGTTTTTGTTGTTCTGGGCGCTCCTTATTCCCTACACAAAGGCTTGTATGGTGTTTCTGGTGACATTGTCTGCAGCGGTTTTTGGATTTGCACTGTGACACGCGATGGTTATTAAGGCAGTTGAAACACAAGTTCGCCTGAAACGCAATTTGTTTTCGTGCAGCAGGATCACTTACTACCGTACAGTCGTTCGGTTTGTAAGATCCATTACAGAAAGTACACGCCTTCGGTTTGGAGGGGTTAGGTGGTGTTTTAAACTTTGAGTTACTGAAATTTCCTCCAAGGTTTTTGTATCTGCTAGTGTTCGTTAATAAACTGGAGATGGAAGGGAGGGTATCAGGTGACTGACTTAAATTGTTAAGTTTATTTGTCTCTTCACCTGCCTCGAGTATAAGGATTTCCTTCGAAATAGCTTTGCGCAATTGTTCTAAACTCAAGTCCGTGGTTCCATGTTCTCGAATAAGATTGTGTTTTACAGTGGTCGGGAGCTTGCTCAAGATAACGGGCACTAGGAGATCACCGTAGGAGTCTTGTGTTTTTCCCAAAGCTTCAAGGCTTCGGACGTGATTTTCCATGCGGTCGTAAAACCCACGTAAACTAGTTACCGACTCAGATGGATTAGGGAGGTCTAACAATGCTTGCATGTGTGCGTTTGTGATTTTATGTTGTTGACCAAATCTTTCTTCTAGTATCTTGACTGACTGTGCGTAGTTTGTGTCTGTTAGTGGTAAACCCTCGACTGATCTAGCCGCTTCTTCCGCCAGATGCGCTTTTAAATAATTGAATCTTTGTATGTCACATAGAGATTTATTATCATGAACTGCGGCTTTGTACGAGTCCCAAAACGTTTGCCATTTTAGTGGATTCCCATTGAATATCGGCAGGGGCGGATCCAGACCGATGCCAACGATGCGAATGCATCGGTCAAAATTGAGAAATCAAGTTGCTTGAAATAATATGTCGTCAATACTTAGTCAAGCACTCAGTAATATAATATCTTTGAATCTCTCCAGCTATCAAACCGCAAATATTTGCTTAAACTTGACTCCATGTGACTGTCCATGTCGGGAATACACTATTTAGGATGAAATTCAATTTAAATTGTCTCAATAACAGTCGAAATTGTCAAAATAAGTCCAATATGCGACGTGCGATCGCAAAAGTATTTTCTGTTATTTACTTTTTATTTTGCGACACTTAAGCGTGAATAATTTCGCGACAAAATATATTATTTTTTACCGCATCCTTTGACGTCACAGTAGAAAGCTGATGCATCACTACGTCACGGTAGATTTTGTTTGCATCGATTTTCAGCCATTTTGCATCAGTGAATGCATCGGTCCCGAGTCCTTTTCCGCGTAAAATCTACTGTGACATCATCAAATCTATTGTTTTAGAGCCCTACGTCACGGTAGATTAGTCCGCTGAGCGATGCATCGCATGCAGATTGCGGGCGCTCGCATCAGTTCACTGATGCAAATTTCAAAATCAAAATCTACTGTGACGTAACGAGGCATTCGATTCAAGTCATGGCGGCAAGGATATGCAAACACTGAAACACATATGCAAATGAACAAATAATGCGAAGAAATATCCCTCGAATATGATGGAGAGCAATTAAGTTACTGTCGAATTAATTACCAAGGTTTGGAATGAATTTAATCTTTCAACTGAGCAGTGAGCACAAGAATTGAAGTATATTTATGCTGTGAGAATGTGAGATGCCCACTACGGCCACTAGGGCTCTAAAGTAAGTGGAATTTATGTATATTTTACATTGTAGTACATTGTTAATTGTTCAGTTCAAGAAGTGCATAAAGTGGAAAATTGGCTCCACAGTTAATGTAGATTTGTATGTATTTATAACATAATTAAAGTTTGTGTCTATTTGATACTGCTGTTCATACCAGGAGGGGGGGGTGGGGTTGTGAGGGGGGGGATGAGGTAGTTTGACATTTTACACATTTTACAGTCTTTACAGAGATTTGTTTGTCTGGAGGCAAACCAGCCCCATTACCAAACTTGACAGCTTGCTTTACTGAGGCAAATTTCATCTCTGTTTACATGGGATTTATATAACCTGTGCCCATGCAGACCTTCATTTTTCTCACAGCTGGCAGGCAAAGAAAAGTGAAGACCTGATAAAGTCACATGTTATTAAATGTTTGTGTCCTACAACTGCCTTTATGGTTGTAACTCTGATTGCCGGCTACTTCTAGCATAAGTATTCATGCCATATTTAATGTATTTTTTTGATATTTTGGTTAGTGCTATATATAATTAAATAATGATAGATTAAATAGTGATTGTAACTATATTTAGCTTGTTGTTAAATTATGTGAAATAATTTGACATTGCGCCTGGCACATTTTGATTGGATACCGGTACTAAAAATAAAACTTTGGTGTGGGTCAAGACTTGCATCAGGCTCTGTACAGTATGTAATTACAATGCATAATAATATTGCAGGTTAATTAACCCATTGAGTCCCATTGCACCCTGATGCACCCTACTTTAGTATTTTACTCTGTCTAATGCCAGACGATTTTACTCGTCAAGGGGAGAGCGCTGGCGCTTAATGGGTTAATGAGCTGGATTTCTAATAGTGATGCAATATTGGTTAGAAAACATTACATTTCATTTTATATGGAAATGAGCTGGCATGCCTCATGACAAGAGTATAATTGCTTTGCACTGCCTGAGTTATTGGGCAATTACTGTACACTGGATATTTTGCAAACAAAGATCATTACCTGGGCGTGCTCGCCTACCATAGTTTGGTACATATGCTTTGTCGGTGCAAATATAATTTGATATAAGCTGTATATGTCATTCTGTTGACAAATTTTAATCTTAGAATGATAAAATGATGAACGTTATAAATACTGTATATAACTGCATGTAACTGGTGTATATAGGTTATAATTATGAAATTTGCTCACAAAAGTGGTATAGATTTAATTAATTAATTAAATTATATATATTTGTAGTGCTTAATTCTCCCAATACTATGTTTTGGATAGCCAGCATGGCTCTCTGAGGATTACCATTGATAAGTGTACGGATATATTTGACGAAGATGTGCATTTATATAGTAACACAGGGAAAATATTGATCAATATTACTGTGCAGCCTTTCTACATTGACATCATCTTAAAAGAGTACTATATTAATATATTAGTTGAAAGGCAAGCAAAAGGGGACTGATAGAAGACATCTGATGATTCAATTATGTCATCATATATTGTTTATCATTGTACAGTTTGGTAGGTTCATTTGACAAACAATTTTCAACTAAGATAGTTCATTAAATCAATTTACACACAGTATCACTATATATATCTATTGATTTAAAGTTTGGGGTCATGTGTACCTATAGTTATACTTATAGAATTTTAAAACTCAGTGCTTGTTGTGTGTTAGTTTTACTGGTTTCCTGGTGACAGGGCAATATTCTCAGTAATTTAGAGTGTGGGCTAGTCACCATGCAAATATGCAATTCACATCAAAGGCATCTATTGCTAGGGGTGAATAAAATTGACATATTGATGCCAACAACACTGTCCACACAGAGTAAGGTTAGCAGCATAAGACAGAATTGTATATAAATAAGTTTACCAACTAGAGCACAAAATACCTTTATGCACCATTGTAATGCTAAAAAATTTTACTCATGGAACATTGCAAATTAGTGGAAATGAATAAGCCTCATGGAAGGTGGTTAAGAAACCTAATAACACTGTCTTTTGAGTCCAACATTGCAACTAGTGGATCACACTGTATACACCTTTGTTACACGTATGTGTGTATTTGCGTTGTCGCGATTTTTTGCCGAAATGTTTTTCAATAGAAAAGTTAAGGCTACAAGAAGCACAGTAGTAAGTACTGACTATTTTTTAATAGAGATTTATGTACCGCTGCTGCTATTACACTTGTACAAGCAAATATTTTTTCTTATATGGAAAAATTATGTTGTTTTTGCGATATAGGTTCAAGTTTTTTACGTGCTTTCCAAAAATGCAGCAAATAATTTTGTGACTCTGATGTATGAATTGGAACAAAAGAGTTTGCTCAGAACGCAGGAAATCGCATTTCCGAGGTTCTAGATTTCAAAATTTCCCGGGGGAGGATACCCCCGGACCCCTCGACAAATGCGAGTTCTTATGTATGCATCAGTCAGCTCAGGAGCTGGATCCGCCCCTGAATATCGGCAGGGCTAACTTAGGTAATCTATGCGCACTCGAATTGTTCAATTGCGGCGAGTAAGTGTGACCTTGAGAGGCCAATTGTTCTCCTTGATTA